GATAGAGAAGCAAAGATCGTTAACTATGAGTCAAACAAGCAACGAATCGATACCTCTCCATAGCAATTCATACATTTAACAGATTTAAATAAGCTAATTCAGTCACCCACAGGAGATGCTTAACGAACGAAGGGATAAGCGTTTAATCCCAGTTAACATCGGACAAGATTACGACGCGAATCAAGCCATCTGCTGCTCACTTCTGACCTATGTACCGAATATACCTCATGTTTACATAATATTGAAAGAGTTCTTTCTTATTATACGGATACATGCACGCGCGCGAAGTCTCACCCTCTAAAGCACTAGTTGCGAATACCGTTCAGTAGTCGCTGGAAAAATCTGCTGATGCTGACAAAAATATTTGTGGCCATCAACCGTATTCGTTCAACCGACAGTGCAGCGCCCAATGGTACAGTATAGATTAATGGAGTACAAACAAATCATGCTGCAAATAATAATGTTAAATCACGATATGTAGTACCTTCAAGAGTTTTGACGGAAGCCAGCGCGTAAGTGTCACTCAGTTCGTTCTCAGACGACAGTTTTGTCCATAGACCGTTAAAGTCAGGGCAAGGCAGCGCGATGATGTGATCAGAAACAGTTACATCTACGTCCTCCAACTAGAAACAAGACGAATGAGACAACAAAAAATCATTTTATGCTCTACATAAACAAAGCAGTGATAAAGCAATATTTTGCTGAAAGAACCAATGCATCTTTCGATTTCATAGAAAATGAAAAAATCAGTTCTTAGCTAAAAATCAATATACGTATGCTAAACTAAATGATTTAAGTAAATCGAACCATATAACACCGCCATTGCAAATATTCCTTCGTTCTACAAAGATATGCAAAGCTCAGTTTAACAATTTTGCTCTGTCTTCACATGTTTCAGAAGATGCCTATAATATAGATATAATTGTATTTTATTACATACTACCAATACGCTATTCGAAGATAATATCTTTTGTTTGTGGTCATAGCAAAAACAGTATATAACACGGTTTAAGAGTACAACAGACTGGCTCTAGCCCCGCTTCAAACAACTTCTGCGAACAAAATTCACGAAACACGGTCACCCCCATACCATGAAAAAGGTTTGTGATACACAGGCGAAACGCCGGAATCGGTCAATAACCGGATTGATATGATATTATATTATGATGTTTATATTATCTTTTGTGTTATGTATTATTACAACATGCTTAATACTTTCTTTTAATATAAACATGTTATTCATATTTCATTATATTTTCCATTATGGGGGCCTTAAAGAGAATATTCCGCCACATTGTGTTTACACAGAGCACTGTGTTACAACACTGTGACAAGTATCAGTA